ATTGAGCCAGGCATGGTGGCGCATGCCTGTAGTCCCAGCTACTCGGGAGGCTGAGGCAGGAGGATCGCTTGAGCCCAGGAGATTGAGGTTGCTGTGAGTTAGGCTGACCCCACGGCACTCTAGCTTCGGCAACAGAGTAAGACTCTGTCTCAAAGAAGAAAAAAAAATCTCGGCTGGGCGCCATGGCTCACGCCTGTAATCCTAGCACTCTGGGAGGCCGAGGCGGGAGGATCAGTCAAGGTCAGGAGTTCGAAACCAGCCTGAACAAGAGCGAGACCCTGTCTCTACTATAAATAGAAATAAATTAATTGGCCAACTAATATATATAGGAAAACATTAGCCGGGCATGGTGGCCCATGCCTGTAGTCCAGCTACTCGGAGGCTGAGGCAGGAGGATTGCTTGAGCCCAGGAGATTGAGGTTGCTGTGAGCTAGGCTGACGCCACGGCACTCACTCTAGCCTGGGCAACAGAGTGAGACTCTGTCTCAAAAAAAAAAAATCTCTCTAAATTTTTTCTGTGGGGGAAGCCCAGGTCCATGAGATTTCTCCCAAGGAACTCCTCCCATTTTCCACTGAGGTCTTCCCTCAACCTGTGCTTTTCCCCCTCTCTTTCCTCTGCTTGGCCTTATGAACCACTATTTTTTTTTCTTTTTCTAAAGTTCCCAGCTCTATCCTTTCGGTGTCCTCCACCCCCACCCTCTGGACTCTAGGCGGGTTGAGGGGAGCTTCTGGGGCCAGGTGGGGTGGGCCCACCCTGGTATTCCTCACCAGGTGTACATAGGGAACGAAGTAGCCAAGGGCAGCAGCAGCGATCCCGAAGGCCCAGATGCGGTAGGTGCGTTGGCGGAACACTCGCATGTTGAAGTACTTCCGAAGCTGAGCCAGAAAGCGCTGGTGCAGGCTGCGGACACCTCTCTTGCTTGGGGTGTCCTGGGAGCTGGGCAGAGGGGCCGGTAGGTGAGTGAAAGCAGCATAAGGACAACAATGAAGGTACTTAGCACCTGGAAGGTTTGGGCCAGCTGATCTTATCCCCAGCATTTTGATGAGGAAGGGAGGACATGGAGAAGACGCTACTCCCAGCGGACACCACGCCATTGGCCAAACCCAGGCGGCGTTGGAAGTAGTGGCCCAGGATGACGAGGGACGGCTGAAAGGCGAAGGAACAGCCACAACCAAAGAGAATCCCGTAGGTGAAGTAGCGAGGCTTAGGGAGCTGTGGGAAAAACAGAGAGAGCTGTCCTCAGCAGCCTGACCAGCAATCTATCTGCCCTCCCCCGTCAGCCTCCCGAGACCTCCATTCCTCCTCCCTTAATGCACAGCCCCACTTGCCACTGATCCTCAGAACAAGGTCTTCTCATCCCATGTTGTAGATGGGGAAGCAGAAACTCAGAGGTAAAGTAGTATGCCCAAGGTCACATGGCTTGGACTTAGATCCAGGTCTGTGTGACTCTAGCACGAATCATAGCACCCTACCGAAGAGGACTGTTCAAGAAAGCCAGAACCACCTATGCAAAGGCTGGGTGAGGGCTACAGGCAGTAAGTCAGTGCCTTAGAGAGAACAGTTTCACCTTTCTGCTTACCTAGACACCATGGATAGGCTGGTGGCCAAAGCTTTATCCCATGTGACAACAAACGTCTACAAGGAGCCAAGATCCTGGAAGGTTGAGACCTTCCATAGGACTCCTCAGTGGCTTTCTCCATGCTCAGGGCCCTTAATATTTCAGAGAATGGGTGATGATCTCCTGACAGACACCTTCTCCCCAGTCGCCCAAGGTCTGGATATCCCAAGGCCTTTACCCTAGGCCATGGATAATCTCCATGAGAATCCTGGCGTAAGGAGTCCCTTTAACTTCCTGTCCCTGTTGCTAGCCTGGCTCTTTGACAGGAAGTAGACCTCAAAGAAGTTGTGGGCTCGCCAAGTAAGACAAATCCTGGCACAAACTCTTAGGCCCTTCTGCGGCCATAAGCCGGCTGGTTTTGAACTCCTGACCTCGAGCAATCCGCCCGCCTCGGCCTCCCAGAGAGCTAGGATTACAGGCGTGAGCCACCGCGCCCGGCCAAAAACACATTTTTCAAAAGAAGAGATACAAATAGCCACCAGATATATGAAAAAATGCTCAACATCACTAATCATCAGGGAAATGAAAATTAATACCACAGTAAGATACCGCCTTACACCTGTCAGAATGGCCATTAAAAAGTCAAAAAACAATAGATGTTGGTGCAGGTGTGGTGAAAAGGGAACACTTATTCGCTGTTAGTGGGAATGTAAATTAGTATAACCTCTGTGAAAAACAGTGTGGAGATTGCTCTAAGAACTGAAAGGAGACCTGTCATTCAATCTAGCAATCCCACTACTGAGTATCTAACCACAGGAAAAAAGTCATTATTTCAAAAAGACATATGCACTCATATGTTTATCATAGCACAATTTACAATTACAAAGATATGTAATCAACCTATGTGCCCACCTCGGTTGGTTCGGTGAAAAAAAAAAAAAAAAAAAAACGCAAGAAACCACTGCAGACAAATCAGCTGCTGCTGGGGGTGTGGCTGGAGCCCAGAAATGCTAAGTCATACAGAAAGCTGGCCTCACCCCTCACGGGTCCCAGTTGAGAGTGGAACAATTGTCTTCTCCACTGGGAATGGAACCTGTAGGCCTAGAGAGCCCTGGCCCTTCTCTGGACGAACCACGCTCAGAAGCAACCGTCTGACACCCTTAGTTCTCTCTCCATTCCAGACATGTTGCTGGTGGCCATTTCTGTATTCTGTCTGGTTTCCTACATGCAGCCCGACAGATTGGAAGTGGACGGGTACCGATAATTCCAAAGTGTCTGTTAGCGAAAGTCATTAAGATTCTTTAGGAATCCCATATTCTCAAGCTGGTGGTATAAGGTCTCTTATTCCCTCCATCTCTACACATAATGCTGTCTGCCCGGGCTGTCAGAAAAGAAGCAGGAAATGACTTGTAGGCCTGCTCCTTGCCTGCGCACCTTACCAAATTTTGACAGCAGGACCAGTGGGACTAAGGTTTGGGTTTGCGTCTAGGTCCAACTCGGGAGCTGGGCGGTTCTGAGGTCTGGTAACCTCAGTGAGAGAGGCTGTACTCCTTCTCAATGCCTAAGACATGATCATATCTGGGTCCCAATCATCCCATAGTGTCAGCAGCTACAGTACTGGAAAAGAGCCGACATGTGCTAATCTTATGGCCGTCAGCTGACCTCTCTTTCACATAGTTCCTTTGGGTAACCTGGCGGCTACCCTGGTGTTCACATGTGCTCACTCAGAACAGTGCCTCTTCTTGGAGGGGAAGGGAGCGCGTTCAAGAGTTGCTGTGGCCCTACTTGAAGGGGAATAGAATAGCAGAGCTGGAAGCGACCCTAAATGACCATTCTGTCTTCTAAAATCCCTATCTTTAAACAGAAAGGCCAGAGGAGGAAATGGTACTCATCAATTCGTTTCCATGATGTGTAAAGTTGGACTTTGGCCGCTTATGAACTATCAGCTTTAGGCTACTCCGCGACCACTCTGGAACTCTTGTGTTCTCTTGAGACATCCTACCCAGCATTGGATCCCTACTAGATGACTTCCATTGAATTAATACCCTGGCAGAGAGTCTGTTTGACCTCTTTATGGCATGGCACAGGGATTAAATGGAGGTATCCCTAGCTGAAGCCCAGAAAGAAGCCACCCTCAGGCTTTGGGGAAATGGCCGCAACCCTTACACTTACCTGGTGAAGCTGTATTGCTGCCCGTGAAAGCCAAAGCAAGCCTCGCCAGTTGCTGTGAGTTCGGCAGCCTAAAACGGTCAGTGAATGTCTTACACATGGCGTGAGGAACAGAAGAGATATCTCGCCAGGGCGCTTTCCGCTCTGCGGATATGCTTGAGCACAAAGCCAGATGTCACACTTTTGGTGGTGTGTTGCGGTTCCAGTTCTGCCCCAAGGGCATGGGTTACCTGCGCTTCCTGGTCTGTTGGTGTGAGGTCAAAAGAGAGGTTTTAAGGGTTCCGCACTGGGTCAGTCAGGATTTGCCAACCATTCCAGCCCTCTTCCAATTAAGCCGAGTTATAGCTGGACGTTTTTTTCTTGATTTCCATGAGCTAGTTAGCAATGGAGATGAGGTTTAAAGAGCTGACGCGGTTAGCTTGTCTCAGGTCTTGGAACAACCTGTGTGAAAGAGCCTTAAGGACTAAGGAACAGGTGTAGGGGGCCCGGCCTGTTCGGAATGGTACCTGGATACAGGGCAGGTCAGGGCCCACCAATTTTATAAGACACTGTGCCAAGAGTCTGTGGCCTCATATTGAAATCCTGATCATCAGAGGCCCTCGTTAGGCACATTCCTTTATTCCAAATCAAGAGAGTTATATCTGTTTTCAAAGGCCTCTTAGTTCTGTACATCCTCATTAGGAGAGAAATTTGCTTTACTTGTTTTCCAGGGGCCCTTTTCCCGTCGCTCAGCTCTCAGAAGGACGCCCAGCTGTTTTTGTTTAAGCTGTTATCAAGTTTCTCCTTTGCTCTCTTTTAGGATAAATATCTTGGTTCCCCTAACTTTTCTCTTAGATTTAATTTCACTCTTATTACTTTCAGAGCTTTCTGCCTGGAACAGCATTCCGGACTCTTCTTCATCTCATTCATCAAAAGATTTCACTGAGATGGTTCACTCTGAGCAGGTGTGGGCCAGCTTTTTGTCTCTCTTCATTGTGATTCTGGGTGTTGTTGTCTGTGAGTGTTTTGTACTTCCTTGTCTATGATGTCCTTTTTGTGTATCGTTGATTAATCTGTTGTGGGTTCCTTGTGTCTCTGGCCTTGTTTTGTTTGTGTGTTTTTTATCTTATATTTATGTCATTTTATGTGTCTGTGTTGTGTGGTGTAGTCCCCTAATCTGTTCCATTGTAATAAAATGGGAATTAAAACAAACTTACTACGTTATCTTTTGAAAGTGATTCCCACATTGTGAGGAAGGATGAGGATCTGCCTTAAACTCATTTTAGAAACTGGATACCGAAGCAGCAGCACAACAAAAAACAAACATAACAACGCCAAGAACTGTAACATCTTCCTGCATGAAATGGCATAGTGAAAAATCCACCAACAATATATCAATGATCTAAACACATCAAAATATAATTTACGATGATAAGTGGATTTCTCCTGAGGGAGCATAGTGATGGTTCGACATAGTCATAAATGTGATCACCAACAGCGATTAAGAAATCAAACATATGATCATCTCAATAGATCCGATATTTTTTTTGATAAATCCAGCACCTTCATGTAAAACCCTTACCAACTATCGCATAGGAAGGGGCCAGTACGCTCAAGTATAAACCATGTATGACAAATTCACAGGCCACACATCTACTCGCAATGGCGTACAATTGAAAGGCATTCCTCTAATACTGGAACAAACACGTATTGCCTGTTTACCACTTCTATTTCTCCCATGATAGCTGGAAGTCCTAGCCAGAGCAATCAGGAGGAGGATGGAAATAAGGCTCCAAACTTGGAAAGGGGTGAGGTCTAACTATGCCCTATTTTGCTGGGAATGATATTGGATCTATTATATCTAGAAATCTAAATGACTGCCTCGAAGGGACTCCTGAAGAATGTAATTCAGTCAAGTCTTGTGTATTATTAGGTGGTGATAGAATAAGTGCTGTTCTAGCTATATGATAACAGCCAAGCTGAAGATCAAATGCAGAACTGCAATGCTCATTACGGACATAGCACAATAAATATCCTGGGGAATTCCTTAACCAGGGATTGCGGGAAGTCTCTGCATGGAGAATTACCCGATGTGTTCCCGGAAATAAGAACCTATCATAAAATAAGCCAGGCGCGCCTCACCGCTAGCAACAAATAAGGATAATAAATAAGAAAAAGCCCTAGCTGATGCATTTGTGCTATATAACCCCCTACCCCGAAAAAAGTATCAGGGTGCCATGGCGTGGCTTGTCAGCATATCTGCCACACCTCTTCTTGCGGTGTGGGGTTGAAATGAGTACATCTGTCTGGTGTTTTCAGAAGTGACAGATAGTGTGGCAGCCCACATCATAGATTCGCCCCCGTCCTTTGGTCCCATGCCATGTTAAGAAATAGGTGCAAGAAATGTGTGTTGGTGTGGGTTGATGATGTTCCAGAGGAGACTGTAGATGTTATGGGTGTATTATATTTAATGAAATTCCTGAAATAGGGGTGTCTTTTGAGAGGAAATATGAGATGTTGAAGGCAGGGTACAAACCCAGTGAAAAATGTAAGGATATGTTAAAGTTCCGTATCGAGTGGAGCAGATGTCCATGCTGCCAAAGTGAGTGTGTAGTTTCACTTAACCTCATGTTCAGATTGTTATAAATTTATTTTTCTAATCTACATCGCAAAGGAGCACATAGACAAACGAGTCCTAAGTAAAAAACAACCTGAGCTCACTTACCCGATTAATTAGATACTACAAGTCGTATCGTACGAACCAGCCATGTGTATTGGTATAAATGACTACATAGTTCCAATGGGACAGAATGCAGGCCCAGAAATAATAAATTCCACCTCAACCCCTGATCTTTGCCCCCCAAGAAGACAAAAAACAGTACATGGGGAATCACATACTACCACTGTGCTGGGAAATTATGAAGCCAATGTAGAAGAATTAAATGCGATCCTCCTGTCATCTACACATAATATTTCAAGATGGATTAAAGACACGGTAAATGCTGAGACTGAACCTAATTTGCAGAAACTTAGTGGGCTCGACGCCTGTATCTCGCACTCTGGGGGCGGAGGCGGATGGATTGCTGAGGTCAGAGTTCGAAACCGCCTGGCAAGAGCAGACCCCATCTCTACTATAAATGAAGAATTATGCCACATTATACTAAAAAATGCCGGCATTGTACGTGCCTGTAGTCCAGTCCTATGAGGTAGCATTAGATCGCTTGAGCAGAGTTTGAGGTTTGCTGTGAGTTCAGGTGCCCACGCACTCACTCTTAGCGGGCAACAGCTAGACTGTCTAAACAAAAATTTTTCTTGACTTGCCTAGGCAAACAGGATTTATGATAATCCCCAAACAAATAAACCAAACCAAATAATAATATGTACTAAAAACTTCCAGGAAAAAATGCCTTGAAAAGAGCATAGATAGCCTGGACTTAGGTTTTATCTAAAAGACAGAAATGTGCAAAAGTGAACCACAAAAACTATTGTGCAGATCTAGGCACTTCAACAAATCACAGAAATCATTTAATAGTGATACATGTGGTGTTTGTATTTCCTTCTTGCCTATTACTTAACATTGGAACTAACTAATGATCAGCAACTCCTTTGAGATGATGTAAACTCACGGAAATCTGCAGGTAGGAGGGGAGGAGATGGGTGAATCATACCTACAGTAAATGTACACTTCTGGGTGATGGGGTGATTATAACGTTGACTCAAGCATACAAGCAATCCATGTACCAAGATTTGTACTCTGTAAATTCAGAAATAAAAGAAGAAAGAAACAACAGTAACCCATTAAAATGGGCAACAGACAAAAACATTTTTCTTTTTTTTTTTTTTTGTTTTTTTTTTTCTTTTTTTTGAGACAGAGTCTCGCTTTTGGTTCCAGCATGGGAATGAGTGCCGTGGCGTCACGCTACTCTACAGCAACCTAAACTCCTGGGCTCGATGCGTCTTCTGCTCAGCTGCCGAGTAGCTGGGACTACAGGCATGCGCCACTGCGGCTTATTTTTCATCATATATATCAGTTGGCCAATTAACTTTTTCCTTTTTCTTAATTTATTGTAGAGAGTCTCCGCCTCTTGCTGCAGCGGGTTGAGGGGAGCTTCTGGGGCCAGGTGGGGTGGGCCCACCCTGGTATTCCTCACCAGGTGTACATAGGGAACGAAGTAGCCAAGGGCAGCAGCAGCGATCCCGAAGGCCCAGATGCGGTAGGTGCGTTGGCGGAACACTCGCATGTTGAAGTACTTCCGAAGCTGAGCCAGAAAGCGCTGGTGCAGGGTGCGGACACCTCTCTTGCTTGGGGTGTCCTGGGAGCTGGGCAGGAGGGGCCGGTAGGTGAGTGAAAGCAGCATAAGGACAAACATGAAGGTACTTAGCACCTGGAAGGTTTGGGCCAGCTTGATCTTATCCCCCAGCATTTTGATGAGGAAGGGGAAGGACATGGAGAAGACGCTACTCCCAGCGGACACCACGCCATTGGCCAAACCCAGGCGGCGTTGGAAGTAGTGGCCCAGGATGACGAGGGACGGCTGAAAGGCGAAGGAACAGCCACAACCAAAGAGAATCCCGTAGGTGAAGTAGCGCAGGCTTAGGGAGCTGTGGGAAAAACAGAGAGAGCTGTCCTCAGCAGCCTGACCAGCAATCTATCTGCCCTCCCCCGTCAGCCTCCCGAGACCTCCATTCCTCCTCCCTTAATGCACAGCCCCACTTGCCACTGATCCTCAGAACAAGGTCTTCTCATCCCCATGTTGTAGATGGGGAAGCAGAAACTCAGAGGTAAAGTAGTATGCCCAAGGTCACATGGCTTGGACTTAGATCCAGGTCTGTGTGACTCTAGCACGAATCATAGCACCCTACCGAAGAGGACTGTTCAAAAGAAAGCCAGAACCACCCTATGCAAAGGCTGGGTGAGGGGCTACAGGCAGTAAGTCAGTGCCTTAGAGAGAACAGTTTCACCTTTCTGCTTACCTAGACACCATGGATAGGCTGGTGGCCAAAGCTTTATCCCATGTGACAACAAACGTCTACAAGGAGCCAAGATCCTGGAAGGTTGAGACCTTCCATAGGACTCCTCAGTGGCTTTCTCCATGCTCAGGGCCCTTAATATTTCAGAGAATGGGTGATGATCTCCTGACAGACACCTTCTCCCCAGTCGCCCAAGGTCTGGATATCCCAAGGCCCTTTACCCTAGGCCATGGATAATCTCCATGAGAATCCTGGCGTAAGGAGTCCCTTTAACTTCCTGTCCCTGTTGCTGCATATGGTATGGATTTGTTCTCCAGACTAGCCTGGCTCTTTGACAGGAAGTAGACCCTCAAAGAAGTTGTGGGCCTCGCCAAGTAAGACAAATCCTGGCACAAAACTCTTAGGCCCTTCTGCGGCCATAAGCCTCGGTCACAGAAGATAAAGTGTCAGAAGGGAAAAGGCCATAGGAAGGTCAGTTTGGCCAGCCATGTGTCCCAGACAATATTGTCATGACCTAATGAAGAATTTTGTTTTCTTTTTGATGCTCCCATATATTTTGCTAACAGTTCCTATCTGGCTACTTAATTACCTAACACTCTTCTTGGTCAAGCAATTCTTCCCAAGAGATAGACTCTGTCCTCATGCTAAAGGTCTGGGCCTATGCTGCAGTGACAATGTGGTGCTAGCACCAATGGTTCCAAGATAGCAATCACCACCGTTGGTTTCCATTTGCTTGTATTCACTAAATGTGAGCAAGGGTTTTGGTTTCAAAATAATTGTCTCTACTTGGAACACATAGTGAAGCCAACTGCTCCTCTTCTATCAGGTTTCTTGGAGCCTGCTCCCATTAGATTCTAGGTACTCTATGGGATTGTCCTTAGCTGGGGGCATTGTCTAAGGTAGAGGAGTTGGACCTTCAGGGAGAAGGCAGGTGGAAGCAAAACATGGGATTCAGCTCAGGGTGCTCTGTGGTGGATCTGTTTCTAGCTAGGGTCTCCGGGACAGGAAGCCCCTGAATTGAGCTTTCCAAAACCCCACCAGCCCTGCCTGCACTTTGCCCCATTTCACACCATCCAAAGGAACTTAGAGCCCTGATTGAGACAACAGGAAGGATGACTTAAAACTGTAGCCACAAGCAGAACCATTTTTCCTTGGATTTGAAGCCATGCAGAAAGTTTCTTGGCTCCGAAGATGTTCTTACAGAAAGAGCAAAAGGGGTGGGGGAGGAGCTCAGGGGCTGGAGAACAGAATGCCTACTCCAATGTGCATAAAGAAGCATGCCAGAAGAAAACACCACATCTGAGCTCCTTCCCCTCCTGTAACTGAGCCCATGTGGATGGGAAGGGAAATGGGATCCGTATGTTGCTAATTTGTTTACACTTTGCTCTGCTTGGCTTTATAAAATAGACCTCTGCTGTGTCATGCTGAGACTGGGGCTGCTTCTGAGGCCTAGCTGCCCCTAAGAAGGAGCCAGGCACCAGCTTGTTGGTGACAAATGAGGCCGACCACCAGACAGGTCCTGAAAAGGTTTACAGCTGCTGCACTGGGATGGCTGAGCAGGTTCTGGGCAGGACTCATTGGTTTTCCCTTTTCTGTCCCAGTTGGATCGGATAAAGCCAAGAAACCACTGCAGACCAAATCCAAGCTCTGCTGGAGGGTGTGCTGGGCAGCCAGAAATGCTAAAGTCATAAAGAAAGCTGGCTCACCCTCACGGGTCCCAGTTGAGGTGGAACACAATTGTCATTCTCCACTGAGAATGGAACCTTAGGCCTAGAGAGCCATGGCCCTTCTCTGGAGAACCACGCTCAGAAAGCAAGTCTCTGACACCTTAGTTCTCTCCTCATTCCAGACATGTCGCTGTGGCCATTTCTGTATTTCTAGTCGGGCATTATCCTACATCAGCCCAGACAGATTGGAAGTAGGAGGTACCATAACTTCCAAAGTGTCTTTAGCAGAAAGTCATTAGAGTTCTTTAGGAATTCCATATTCCTCAAGCTGTGGTATAAGGTCTTTATTCCCTCCTCTCTACACATATGCTTCTGCAGGGCTGGCAGAAAAGAAAGCAGAAAATGAACTTGTAGCTGCTCCTTGCCTGACACTACCAAATTTTGACAGCAGGACCAGTGGGACTAAGGTTTGAGTTTGGTCTAGGTCCAACTGAGGAGCTGGGTTCTGGGTCTGTACCTCAGTGAGAGATGCTGCTAAACATCCTTCTCATGCCTAAGACATGAATCTATCTGTCCCAAATCATCCCATAGGTGTCAGCAGCTACAGATACCTGGAAAAGAGCCAGACATGCTAAACATCCTTTGGCTCAGCTGACCTCTCTTTCACCATAAGATTCCTTTGGGAATCCTGGCAGGCTAGGTGTTCACATGTGCTCACTCAAGAAGCTCATTCTTGAGAGGGAGGGAGAGGTCAAGAGTTGTGTGGCACATACATTGAAGGGGAATAGAATAGCAGAGCTGGAAGAGACCTAAAATGACCATCTGATCTAATCCCCTCATGTTATAAAAACAGAAAGGCCCAGAGAGGGAAATGGTACTCATCAATTGTTCCATAGCCATTCAGTCACCAAAATTGGACTTGGGCCCAGCTTTATGAACTATCAGGCTTAGGCTCCTCCCACCACTCTGGAACTCTTAGATTCTCTTTGAGGACATTCCCTTACCAATGCATTTTGGGAACCCTACCTAGATGACTTCCATTGAATTATGAACCCTGGCAGCAGAGTCTTTGAAGGCCTTATATGGCCATGGCCACAGGGATTCTACAATGAGAAGAGTATCCCTAGCTGAAGCCCAGAAAGAAGCCAACCCTCAGCTTTGGGGAAATGGCCAGCAACCCTTAGCCTTACCTGGTGAAGGAGCTGGTATGGAGACCGATGAAAGCAACAGCAGCCCCCGCAGTTGCTGTGATTCGGCAGCCTAAACGGTCAGTGAATATACTTACAATGGGAGAACAGAAGAAGATCATACCCATCGCAAGGGCTCCTACCCATGCTGTAGAGAAAAGAAGCACAAAGACACTTTAGATTAATGTCACACCTGGTGGTGTTGCTGGTATCTCAGTTCTCTCTGGCCTTTCAAAGTGGCCATTGGGTTAGTCTGTACTGCCAGCTTTCTGGTCTGTGATGGTTAGAGAGGTATTCAAGCAGAGGCTAGATATATTAGTAAAATAGGGGATTCCAGCACTGGAGTCAGATTCAGACTAGCCAACATTTCAGGACCTTCCATGGACACTAAGCCAGATGTATATAGCCTTAGGAACTTGGCCATTTGACTTCAGGAGCAAAGAGCATGGGGGATGAGGTTTAAAGAGCTGAGGTTAAGCTTGTCTCAGTCATTGGAACAACCCTGTGAAGATGCTAAGACTAAGGAACAGTGAAGGCCCCAGCCTTCTGGAAATGTACTAGGATACAGGGCAGGTTCAGGGGCCACCCAAAAATTTATAAAGACACTGTGCAAGAGGGTCATGTGGCCCTCATACTGAAATCCTTCATCAGAGCCCATGTTAGGCAAATTCCTTATTCCAAACTCAAGAAGAGTTTATTCTGTTTTCAAAGGCTCTTAAGTGTCTGTAACAATCCTCACTAGGGAGGAAGAAATTTGCCCTTTTACTTAGATTCTTCCAGCCCATTTCCCCTCGCTCAGCTCTCAGAAGAAAAGCCCAAGCTTTTTTTGTTTAAAAGCTGTTATCAAGTTTCATCTTAAGACTCTCTTTTCTAGGATAAATAATCTTGGTTCCCCTAACTTTTTCTCTTAGCATTAATTTTAACTCTCTAATTACTTTCAGAGCTTTCCTCTGAACACATTCCGACTCTTCTTCATCATCATCATCATCAAAAAGCATTCACTGAGTGTCACCTGAGCAGGGTGCTGGGCCAGCTTTTGTCTCTCTTCAATTGTGGAGCCCCAAGTGAGCCAGAGGAGTGCAGTCTCAGTGAGGTCAGGGCTAGTCTACTTCCTGTGTCCCTTAAGTGCCAAATAGGTTGCTCAGATCCACATTGATAATCTTTGCTTTGCTTGGGCCCCATCCTGAGCCCTCCTCACTTCCTGGCTCTAAAAATACTAGCCTAGGACACCAGGAGACCTGGACTTTTATCACAATTTCACCTCTTACCTTACAATTGCATCTCTTATCAGCTGTGAGACCTTGAGAAGTCGCACAGCACTTCCCTAATCTTCAATTTTCTCATCTGTAAAATGGGAATTAAAAGAAAAACTGGTACCTATCCTTTTGAAAGTATTCCATAACATTGAGAAGGAGGGAATCCTCCTTAACTCATTTTATAAAACCCTGATACCGAAGCCAGGAAAGGACACAACAACAACAACAATAACAACCAAGAAAACTGTAAACCAATATTCCTGATGAACATAGATGTAAAAATCCCCAACAAAATACTATCAAACTGAATCTAACAACACATCAAAAATATAATTTACCATGATCAAGTGGATTTCATCCTAGGGCTGCAAGGATGGTTCAACATATGCAAGTCAATAAATGTGATTCACCACACAGACAGAATTAAAAATCAAAAACCATATGATCATCTCAATAGATGCAGAAAAAGTATTTGATAAAATCCAGCACCCCTTCATGATAAAAACCCTTAACAAACTAAGCATAGAAGGACCATACCTCAAAATAATAAAAGCCATGTATGACAAATTCACAGCCAACATCATACTGAATGGGACAAAATTGAAAGCACTCCTCCTAATAACTGGAACAAGACAAGTATGCCTGCTTTCACCACTTCTATTTTACATGATACTGGAAGTCCTAGCCAGAGCAATCAGGCAGGAGAATGAAATAAAGGCATCCAAATTGGAAAAGAGGAGGTCAAACTATCCCTATTTGCTGATGATATGATCTTATATCTAGAAAATCCTAAAGACTCCTCGAAGAGACTCCTAAAATAGATAAATTCAGTAAAGTCTCAGGTTATATAAAATTAATGTATAGAAATAAGTTGCATTTCTATATACTAATAACAGCCAAGCTGAAAATCAAATCAAGAACTCAATCTCATTTACAATAGCAACAAATAAAATAAAATACCTGGGAATATACTTAACCAAGGAGTAGAAAGATCTCTACAAGGAGAATTACCATGTTTCCCGGAAAATAAGACCTACTCATAAAATAAGCCCTAGCAAAAAATAAATAAATAAATAAAAAATAAGCCCTAGCAGGATTTCTAAGCATTTGTGCAATATAAGCCCTACCCCGAAAATAAGACCTAGTGATGGGCGTGGCTATGCAGCATATCTGCACGACCCATACATTTCATCGCGGAGTGATAAAGAAGACAAGCAGCCATTCTCATCTGCCCCATCGTGACAGCTACTATCCCAAAGGTGACCAGAAAGGTGTGGGCAGCCCCACTAACAAGGTCGGCTCATCCTGTCAGGTCCGGGCCAATGGTTTTAAAGGAAATAGAGTTGCAAGAAATTCAGGATGGAATTTGGGCTTTGGAGAATTATGATGATGTTCCAGAAGAAGACGACTTAACTATATTTGAATAAATGTAGATTGTTGTACTGTAATTTAAAAAAATGACACATCCCCTGAAAATAAGCCCTAGGGTGTCTTCTTGAGGAAAAATAAATATAAGACCCTGTCTTATTTTTGGGGAAACATGGTACAAAACACCAGTTAAAGAAATTGTTGATGACACGAATAAATGGAAAAGTATCCCATGCTCACGGATGAGAAGAATCAATATTGTTACAATGTCCATGCTGCCCAAAGTGATTTACAGATTCAATGCAATTTCTATCAAAATACCAATATCATTTTTCACAGAATTAGGAAAAATAATCTAAATAAATATCATATATAAAACAAAAGAGCACAATAAAAAAACGATCAAGGTAAAAAAACACAAGCACACAAACAAAAACGAAAAAACAAAAACATATCAAATTATAAACAAAAACAGTCTAAGATACAAAAAAACAGCATAAGTAATAAATAAAATAAAGATAACAAATCGAATGGGACAGAAGTAGAGAACCCAGAAATAAAACTATCCACCTACAACCACCTGATCTTTGACAAAGAAGACAAAAACATACATTGGGAAAGGCAATCACTACTCAACAAACATGTACATGGGAAAATTATGACAAAGGCCACATGTAGAATAAAAAACAAGGATACAACAAAACATCATAACACATAAATTAACAATGGATAGAGTAAAAAAAAAAGACTGACACCATATAAAAAAAATCTAGCAGAAAACATAGAACAACACGCTGTAATCCTACACAAAAAACAAAACACAAACAGATGGATTGCTCAACAAAAGAGGTTCGAAACCAGCCTGAGCAAGAGCAAGACCATCTCTACTATAAATATAAATTAAAAACACACTAATATAAATAAATTACCCGAGCATAACAATGCCTGTAGAAAATTAAACCAAACAAACAATGACGGAACAGAGAGCAGGAGGATCGCTTGAGCCAGAGAAATAAAAAACAAGTGAAGTGTAAACGGCTGCCACCACAGCACTCCACTCTAGCCTGGCAACAAAGCTAAAACTAAACTGTCTCAAAAAAAAAAGTTTTTCTTTTGACAAACACAAGGCAAAGATACACACCCCCAAACAAATAACAAAAAAAAAATAAAAGTGGGACTTAAACTAAAGCTTCTTCACCAGGAAAAGAAGTGCCTAAAAGAGCAAATAGACAACCTGGAACTCTAGGGTTTTAGGTCCTAGGGAATGGAAAGGAAATATTCACTAAAAGTATACATCCACCAAAGGACTAATATTCAGAATCATATAAGGGACTCAAACAAATCAGCAAGAAAAAATCAGTTTAATAGTGAGTAACATGTGGTGTTTTGTATTCATTCTTGCCATCACTTTCACTTAAATTAACTAACTAACCGATCAGCAGCTCCACTGTGGAGATGGATGTAAAACTCAACGGAAAATCATGCAGTAGGAGGGGGAGGAGGAGATGGCTGAAATCAGATACTACAGGGTACGAATAAGTACACTATCTGGGTGATGGTACACCTATGAACGTTGACTCAACAGTACAAAAAGCAATCCAATGTAACCAAAAGATTGTAACCGTCTGTAATATTCAGAAATAAAATAAAGAAAAGAAAAAAGATAACCCCATTAAAATGGGCAACAGACAAAAACACATTTTTCTTTTTTTTTTTTTTTTTTTTTTTTTTTTTTTTTTTTTTTTTTTTTTTCTTTTTTTTTTTTTTTTTTATTTTTTTTTTTTTTTTTTTTTTTTTTTTTTTTTTTTTTTTTTTTTTTTTTTTTTTTTTTTTTTTTTTTTTTTTTTTTTTTTTTTTTTTTCTTTTTTTTTTTTTTTTTTTTTTTTTTTTTTTTTTTTTTTTTTTTTTTTTTTTTTTTTTTTTTTTTTTTTTTTTTTTTTTTTTTTTTTTTTTTTTTTTTTTTTTTTTTTTTTTTTTTTTTTTTTTTTTTTTTTTTTTTTTTTTTTTTTTTTTTTTTTTTTTTTTTTTTTTTTTTTTTTTTTTTTTTTTTTTTTTTTTTTTTTTTTTTTTTTTTTTTTTTTTTTTTTTTTTTTTTTTTTTTTTTTTTTTTTTTTTTTTTTTTTTTTTTTATAATTTTTATTTTTTTTTTTTTGTTTTTTTTTCTTTTATTTTTTTTTTTTTGAAGACCAGAGTCTCGCTTGTTGTCCCAGGCTAAAAAGTGAAGTGCCCGTAAGGCGTACACAAACTAGCTCACAGCACCTCAAACATCCTGGCTCGAGCGAGAACCTTCTGCCGTCAGCCTCCCGAGAGCTGGGCACTACAGGCATGCGCCACCAATAAAAAAGCCCGAAACTAATTTTTATATAATAAATAATGAGTTGCCAAGAATTCTTTCTATTTATAGTAGAGACGGGTCTCGCTCTTGCCAGGCCTGGTTTTGGAACTCCTGACGCATCAGCAAGTCCGCCCGCCTCGGCCATCCCAGAGAGCTAGGATTACACGCGTGGAGCCCACCCAAAGCAAG